TCCAAACAAGGCTAACAAATATAACTTGGGTCAATTTGTAGACCCAATGCCAATACAAAAAGAACGTGCTTTACATGGATGTTGACTTTGTTGTCGTTTACACGTGGTTGGCAACAATGGTCGTCGTTGAATTACAGGGTCGCTTTGGATATCCCTTATCTAGTACAAATGTGACATGTGGGCCAACCATAATCTTTTGCAAGATTAGGATAGGGGGCAGCAACACTTTCGTACCATGATGAAGCAAATGTGTCGGGTCAATCCATTCGGGTAATTGGGATGATAAGAATTCAAGATGATTATTTTCTTTTAATTTTAAGTTCAATTTTTTTAAGTGAATTTTAATTTGTCTTATGCTCATAATTTGTAAGTGATTGTGTTTGTTGAGATTTTTTGTATTGCGACTATAAGTTCAAAAACTTAAAGAGTTTGGATTGGGCCAGCCAATCCAATTAATTAATAAGATTTATTTTTTAATTATTTAAATGAGAAATTATTATATTATGTTTAATGGAGTCAAATTTATATATATCAACATTCTGTCTCATTGTGATCCAACCTGAAGTATATATGTTATATAAATATGTGAAAAAATAAAAACTAAAGAGATCATTTAATGAATTGAGTTAAAAATGAGTTGATGTTCTAGAATTTAATTTTATTGAGTTTTTTTAGATCAAATCAAAATTTTCGATTACTGAGTTAAGATATGAAATGTAAAAATCAAATCCACCGCATATTATGATTAAATTTGGATTGAGATTTTCAATCGAATTTGAATTAATTGATATCTTAAGAAAGTTTTTTAAATAAAAGAAAATCATGTGATGGATTATGTCTATTCCATGCACCAACTTATTGTTTTTTTATTGTATTCATTGCTTTGTGGGATAGGATTTGATCAAGGCTCTTTCCTAGGAAGCTGCTTCCATGGAGGAACCATGGCTTAAACAATGCTCTGTTAGTCCAACCACTTTTTCTTTAAAGCTTTATGAAGGGAACTGATTACTAGTCCTAATGGTGTGATGGGATTGTTATGAAGTTATTGTCATATTTACCCCATGAAGGTCACGGGTTCTAAATAGGATTGAACATGAGGCTGATTAGGTTTGCAGTTTAAAAAAACCATTTTAAGCAGCATATTTATTCAAAAGAGTTGGAGGAAAGGACTTCGAAGAATTTTCTAACTAGTTTAAAAACCATATTAACAAAGAAGTTTGTTCTTAGCCTTATTTCTGGTTTATTTTTGTTTTTGGTAATAACGTAAAATTGTGTTAGCTGCGCTATTTGGACTTATGGATACTACGGGAACTTAAAATATGTGCAATTATTACAAAAAAGTATATGTATACATTAATTTGATCAATCAAAACATCTCTTGTGAGACTTAAACTTACGATCTCAATATACTAAGCTCTAAAACCTTGTCATCTGAACTATCATTAGGGGTTTTAAGTTCTATTTCACCAGGTTTAACTTTTCGAGGTTATAAACATACAAAAAACTTAGAGAAACACCTGTTACTATTATTTATAAATTACAAAAGAGGTAAAGTTGTTGTACTAGGCCTATGAAAATGAATTGGTAATCTGTTCGCTAACAACTCTTTTTGATTTGAAATCACTTTAATCCCTAAAGTTGCCTTGATCCTTAATCCACCTTGTCGATGGTTCAAAGAGACATAATCTCTTTGCCAATATCATTTTAAGTCAAAGTTGGGTGTCTAACTTGTTTAGGTCCCAATAGTCTTACTCTTTTGTTTAAGTATAACCCTTGGCCTCGGCGAGATAAAATTATTTAAGATTTTACCTGTACAACAATGAGTCAACAGGTAAACATTCAAAAATTGTAATGAAACGACCTCTTATTGGTTACTTGTAATCGCATTAATTTACGGGTGAGCCATAAAAAAAACTTAATACTGACCTTTGACACCAAGTTAGTGCCTTATATTAGCAGTTAAACTACTCCACAAACAACTAATACATCCAATGGAGTCACTTGGAGATTAGCAGAGTCTCTCTCTCTCTCTCACACACAGGGGGTGGGGGTATTAAGAGATTATGAATATGAAGATTAATCTGCCCCATTATCACCTCAAGCAGGAGAGAGAAAGGAGGAAGGCATTTGACTATTTCCTGCAAGGTATCTCTTCCACTCGCTCCCATTACCTACCATGGACCTTATCCATTAGGCTGCCAAAGTTTAATTATGTGGTTCATTTTCTAGAAGGGTATCTCTTCTCACTTTATACCAACCCTTGAGTACATTACCTTTGCCTTTCACATTCAAAGCCACAAAATAGAGCTGAATTTCTATAAGATTCCATGAAGTATTAGGTAAGACTACGAACTGGCATTAATTTCTTGGTACCTACCCAGAACAAAAATCTAACACTAACACGCATTTCATGGTTACAATAATAAGTTTTAGTACCAGTGTCAATAACTAGCCCATGGTCTGCTTCTCAAGCCAGCTCTATTGGGCTTTCAATGAGTAACCCAATAAGTCGACTCTAATGGGCCTAAAACGGTTCGCGATAGTAATTTTTGTTTCATTATTCATACTAAATATATAATACTTTGAAAATTGAAAGAGAGTACACCAAATTAGATTTAATTGTAAAACAAATACACAAAAAAAATATTAGGTAATTAAGTCTTAATTTTGATATTTATTTGTATCTAAGTACATTATTTGAATTTTACTGATTTTTTTGTGATATTTTTGTCCTCCATTAATCTATGTGTATTTTATTTGGAAAGTGGTGCATTAAACATCTCCTAGTTTTATGGGAGAACTTTAATATTACATATTTGTATGTTCTCCCTCGATTCATGCGTATTTTTTTTGGAAAGTAGTTTTGTTTTCAAATTATATTTAATGTACTTTGATTCATAGGTATTTTTTTTTTTTGGAAAATAGTTTTGCTTTCAAATTATATTAATATCCGAACAATGTAACAAATAATTTACACAAAATATTATATTATTACATTTTGTCAAACATATATTTTCATATAATTTCATTTAAAACAGTTCATATCCGTTTTGAATTTGTTATCACATGAACAAAACTACTGAACACTATTTTTGTTACACTATTATATATATATTAACAAATACACAGGAATCAATATGTATTAAAGATAAGAGATTTTGAATTAAATAATCCTAAATTTTAGCGTTTAATAAATGGTTTGTTAAAGTTTTTAGGAAAATTTTTTTTATAAAATGGGCATTTACGCCTTTGTATCTCAGTTGTGTAATTTTTTTCAAAACATTTTATTATATATACTTTTTGTCAAATAAGTCTAATTAGGTATACTGGCTTCCAAAGAACCATATACACTTTTACAAATAATTAAAATCAAAAAATAGAGCACTAAAATAAAATTTGAATAAAAAATTACATTAAACTAACAACCAATAATCTTCCTTGGGCTAACCATTATTCGCTATTTAACTAGAACTAAAACTGGATGAGAAAGACTACAATTACTCAGTTTTTACCGATGTAAAATTGTGAAAATTTCCATCACCGAAGATTGTAGCTGACCAAGATGAAGTACTACAACAATCTTACAACCACATAAAATACATGATTATGATCATTGATTTTTTGGTGATCTTTTCTCGAGTCCTCTGAAGATAAAAAATTTCTAAAAGATTAATGGTAAATATACTTACATATAGCTTGATTTTCAATGGCCTCTACTTCGCCAAAAAATAAAGCTTAGGAAACAAAAACTTAGGGCTCGAATATCTCCAACTTTATTAGCAAAGTGTTGGGACAAAGGCCACCAAATGTTGCTTAGATCTTTTTCTTTTTTTTTTTTTTTTTAATTATTTGGTAGGGTGCGCCAGGCTCAAGTGGTGCACTGAAAGGGCAACACTCAAGGGTCCCAATAGCAAGCTATTTTGGTGGGCCTCCAAAAAAATTAATTTAATATCATTTATAACAATATCTCATGTATTAGATATTAAACAGATAAGAACATATACTATATGTGATATTTTTCAAAAAGCCAAAAAAGATATACTCAGATCGTATATCATCAACCATTCTTATCATTTTCGCTTAGTCTGCCCTCTTGATAATATAAATATGGTGGAAGTCGGACCATTTTGACAGAATGCCATTATTAAAGGGCAATCTTATGTCTTAATTTCTAATGTTAGCAGAGCATTTTTTTTAAGTTACATTAAATTGAGTGGATATAACACACATTTCATCATACACTAGAGGACCCCGCACACAGTTACCCTTGGGAATATCTATTACTATTATAAAGGGTCCTTCAATTATTGTAGAAAAATGAGATAGTTAGAGAGATATAGGATGAGAAGAAGCCAAAAAACAAAAAAAAAAGAGTTAGGCGATTGAGTGAGGTTGAAAAAGAATTGAAAGTGATTATTTCGAATAAGAGTGACATTTCATCAGTGAAGGAAGTTAAGTGGATTAAAGAGAGTTATATGCAGCTACCTGGGAATAAATAAAAGGCGCGCAGTACAAACATTTTATAAGTAAACACCAAATCCCTACTCACCCTTTATTAATAGTGTAGGTTTTGCTGCTTATCATAATTAAAGTCAACACAGTGCTCTTTAGACCCTCATTAGATCTACTCTTTCTATTTCTTTCGATTCCCACTCCGAAGCTTTTGCTACAATTGTCCATCCTCCCTTTGATATGTGGATGAACAAGTCAAAATTTCCCTTCACAAATATTGCAGTATGATCAATTTCTTCAAATATATAACAAAAATTCAGTTCTTGGTGCGATGATTAGCCATGGAATTTGTATCAACCTGCACAAAGGACTCCAAAATTTGAAAAAACAAGATCAGCTCCACCCTTTCTTAATCCTTGGATGGTGTTTTCTATCTCTCTGTAAAATTAAAGCACTCTCATTTGGCATCAGTGGTCCTCACCCACATTTTTTTACATCGCAAGGGTTTGTTTATGGAATCCCGATAGAATTATCAGATGAAAGTGTATGTCTACATTACCAATCAATTCCATAGGGAAACGAGTTTTATTGCGTATGATCAAGAATTGGTTTCCAGTTTGTTCAGGGAAGGAAAAATAAAATAAAAACATGTGGTAGAAAGCTGAGATCAATTCAAATCATATTTTACAACGAATGTAAGTTGATGAAAAAGAGAACAACAAATTTGAAAAACCTAACTTGAGTTCTGAAGAATGATTTGGGGGTGTGATCCTGTAGTTCTTCGAATCTTGGTGATACAAACAGAAGATGTCTATCTCACAAAAAGACCGATAAAGGCCGCCCAGTATCCAGCCAACTGTCAGAACAATGGAAAAAAGGAGGGCTTAATCTTCCACCATAAACTTAATGCTCTCACCACAGAAAGAGCAAAAACCTTGTGCGACTTGCCTTACCTGAGACAGAATACTGTTCCCTGTGTGGCCTTCAAGGACTAATCCTACTGTGAGACCAATCATAGCCCATGCTCCATTAATCGCTTCGATTTGACGTCTTCTCTGTTCCAATGTTTAACCAGAAAAGATCATGACTGACCTGATTTTGTGAAAATGAGTATAGAGATACTTAACCTAATTCAAGCTTATTAACAAAAGAAATAGAAATGAAAAAGGGCATTTTTTTTGGTGTACAAATGGCATGGCATGGGTATACGATGGATTTAGCACCCCCCCCCCCCCCTTCTCTCTTTCCCATAATGTCACCCCGTCCCATGTCCTTTTTTTTGGATTGAACCCTACACCTTCCTCACTGTCGTTGTAAGTGCATGTATATCCAAAAACTATGAAGACTACTGTAGAAGATAGAAGTAGAGACCCTTTATGCTACCCAAGTTCATAAAAATCTTACTTGTTCTGAAAATAAACAACCATGATAACTACAATTTGAATCTTATTGTTGGTTTTTAATGAAATAAACTTTAATGACCCCCTTTTGGCAGGCACCATTTAATGTCATGTCCATGTAACCCATAAACAGTAGAAAGGAATCCACAGAACTACTTGGCATTATGAAATCTCACACGACAACCAGTCCAGGGAAAGGGATAAAGCTGTCATTAGGGGCATTGGAATGTTTGCCAATACTCTAGGCTTATGTCATTGTCATCTTCTCCCTATACCTACTATGCTAGTCTCATAACACCAAGATTAGCTGTAATTTATTTCGATAAGGTGCAGTAAGAGCATGGATAAGCCAAAGGCTCCAAGTTGTTACCTGGTTCAATCTCCCATGGAAATGGAAACAAGCTCATCAATGAGGTCATATTCCTTTCAAGGAACTATTAACTTGCAGAAAGAAGAAGGGACCATATAAAATTCCAAGGTATTTTATACGGAGAGATGGAATTTTTATGTGACTTGGAGTGCATTCATTCATTAATCTCTCATATATTTTCAGGTACACAAATAGCAGGGGCAGCCCGAAATACACAGGGGCCTTAGGCGAAAAGTTAAATGAGGCCCTAATATTATGTAGTATAATAATATAGACTATACTTATTAAAATATTAAAATATATCCATTTGAAAATCTTTTATTTTTTATTTTTTTGTGCGATGTAGAAATACTAATTAAATTTTTGCATTCATGTTTCGCATAGGAAAACTCCATTAATAGGAGTAGGATTCGAAGGCCAAAAATAATCAAGTCTAATATCATTTGAAGATATAGAGAAAGAGAATAGAAACTTTATTTTTAGTAGCTAAATAATTTTTAAAAGAATCTATGTAATCAGGAATTTGTATAGGTTGAAGTTTCTAGAATAAATACAACATGATTAAAGATTCAAGAGAAATCTCATGTTTAATAGAGACAACTATATTTATAATTAGTTTCTGGACAGTGAGCTACTCCTACTCACTTTGTTTTCTAGTCATTTTGGGTGTACTCAAAACAATTAAGCAAAATATTCAACCAAAATAAAAAGGACCCGAATTTGATTGAAGAAAGAATATTACAAATCATTACAATTGGGTGATAGATAATTAATCAAACAAACAATTTTGATTGTAAGACATCAATAATATTATCTGAGGAGATAACGAATATTTATATATTATATATCAATAAGGTAAGACTTAAAAAACAAAGTTAACATGAGGGGACCTACAGAATTTTTTAAGTAATATTAGAAAATTTTGTTTGGGGTCCCCATATTTTTTCATGTATTTGGGGATCTTAGGCGGCAGCCTTAGTAGCTGAGCCTTGGGCCAGCCATGCAATAGCTTCCTGTACAAAATGGTCTGCGAGACAAGACATTTATAGTCACTATTTTGTGAGAGTCTACTCTAACCTATCACTGTAAAGTGCCACACAAAGCAGAAGTCATAATGGAAATGAAAGTTATCTCACTTTGAATTTCTCCTTTGATTTAATTTGTTCCATTTGTTTGGCAGCTAACCTCTTGGCTTCCAAAGGATCAACCATGATCACCTCTTTCTTAGCTTTTTTCCCAGGAGAGACCTAAGTGAATTATAAAGAAAATTGTGCAATTATTAGCAGAAAAGAAAACGAAAATATAAGTGGGGATGGGGAGTTGGGGAGAGTCTGTATAAATGTCAAACTGATGAAGTGAAAAATTAAATAAGCAGAAAGACAACAGACAATTAGGCTTATCAAGTTGTTTATGTGCCTTGGACTTTATAGCTTACAATGTTTACAGAGGCTTAAGTCAAGATTTGATTATGGGCTATTATGTACATAGATGTATAACATGTCACATGCTTCAAGCTAAAGCTATAGAAGTAGGGGATGAAATGGTGTTAACTCAAATCCATCGTCATGTTTAAGAAATCTAAGCGTCCATCTCCTTGCATTGATTGGAATTACAAGCCAATCCTCACAATGAAATAGCCAATAGGAACTCTTTTTAAACATAATATTACTAAGGAAACAAGACTAACAGTTGCAAAAAATGTAAGAGCCATTCCTACAGCATGGTAGTTGTCACAAACCAATCAAAAAGCCATTTAGAATTTTCAAAAAATAGGAGCCGTGAATCAGCTGATCTTTGGAGAACCTCTAATTGGGCTGAGCTAATCAAGGGCCAAGCTCGAGCAGTATGGTTTTTCCATTTCCAGACAGTCTCAGATTCTTAGGATGTTAAATAGCTTATTGAGTTGAATTCGAGCGAAGTAAAATTGATGTGCTTCAAATGTACTCAAGCTTTGCTCCTTTATCTCACAGGCTGAAACTTTGAGAAGATCCTAGTGTATCCCAGCGAAAAAAGACACTAGAGCAGGGTTACCAGGATCGGTACTACAACAGGTGAACCACGACCTGGTTCGGACGATTCCAAACGGGATATGTTCACGTACTAGTTTGGCAAAACCAGCGTCCTCAACTTTTTGCCCTAACTAGGAATTACGCACCCCAAATCGATATGCCAAACCCAATCCTACCCCAAATTTGTTACAAAATTACCAAAAAAAATTACAACACAGAACACAACATATATATGTTTGAAGATGGCAGACGAAATACCTACCTGGAATTCAACCAGCGAGGATGTAGGTGTGGATTTCACACATCAATCGCACCTTCATCGCAATCGCACACCACCATAGTTGCTGCAACAGAAATTTCTCCATCGTCTTCGTAACAATTGGTTGGGTCAAACCATGCTCGAGTTGCAAGCAAAACTATCTTTGATTTTCAAATCTACTTTGGGACTGTACAGCAAGAGAAGTCGATGGGAGAAATAGAAGAAAGGAAGACGTTGCTCAATTTATACTGAAGGGGCTAGAAACTGAGAAGTACTCTCTACTTGGTGGACTCTTCAGCGAAGAACAGTGGAGTTCTCCTCACCGCCCTGCGCCCAATATATAGCAAGACTATTTTATCTGTTTTTTTTTTTTTTTGAAATGAATTTTTTTTTCTTCTGATGAGGAGAAATGCTGAAAAAAAAAAGGAAACTGACTATTATCACGTGACTAGTTGACTGCAAAAAGGCATGAACCGACTTTTCTGCTGAATCTTAATTCTAGTTGGTTCTTTTTGAAATAAATACAAAATACACGCATAATCAAAAAAAATATTGAAAACTACGACATGACTCACCATGTGTGTATAGATGCATACTTATGTATAATTTCTTACCATAGTATAAACGAATCAAATAAGATTTTAAACGAATCACGAGCCCAATTAGCATACTGACTAAGCCTACCCCCGATGTACTGCGTTCCGCATAAAATAACGTACTCCGCACCTGTACCGATACCACGTACCAAAACGACTCACGATCTAGATAACCCTGCACTAGAGTGTCTAGTCCAAATAACACAACTAAGGGTGTTGTTCATGAAGTTGCAATAGAAAAAGTAATATTAGGGTTAGAGAAAGTAAAAGAAGAAGAGATAACAAAAGAGTAATTAGTTGTGTATAGGCTAGGTTGACCTACACCCTCTTATTTATAATTGAGTAATATTCAGATAATTACACTATTACCTTAGACTAATTAATTTATGCTCACTAGAGAAATAAGAACTCTAACACTCCTCCCCAAGTTGGAGCATATAAATAAAAAATGCTCAATATATGGGGTAATAATCTCCTTTCGCATCAAGACTTCTTGAATAAAATAACAATTTACCGCAATATGTTTGGTACGCTCATGAAATATCAAATAACTTGCGATAAAAATAGTTACTTGTGTGTCACAATGCATCTTCATCGGGGAAGACACATCAAGTCCTATTTCACGTAGTAAAGAATAGATCCATAACATCTTACGAGCAGTATATGCTATAGCACGATACTTAGCCTCAACACTAGAACGGGTAACCACGTTCTGCTTCTTACTATACGAAATAATAAAATTATCACCAACAAATGTACAATAAGCCAGAAGTAGATCGCTTATCACCATGACTGCCTGTCCAATCAGCGTTAGAATAACAAATGTACAATGATGATGGATGATATAATAATCCTCTCCTCGAAGCCCCTTTCAATTACCGAAGAATCCGAAAGACAGCCTCCCAATGAGGATTACGAGGAGCATGCATGAACTAACTAACCACACCAACAACATATGTAATATTAGAGCATGTAACTATTGTTGAGAGGATAATTTCATATTTGCTTAATACTTATTGAAATTTCTGATTTAGATCATGCAATTATGAACAAAAATAGTAACAGATAAAACTAACCCGATTGCCTAGTAGGAACAGTTTAAGAATATGATCAATGCTAATGTTTAACACTATGTCTTTAAAATAGATTTTGCCTCCACTCTAGTGCTTATGGATTCTTGAACATCTACCTTCCAAGATACAACGATCATGGAAACAGAAGCAGCAAAACAATCTATTTGCGTAGCGAACCAAAAATATACTTCTGTACTCTAAAAAATGGACATTGCTAATGACAAAAATTATGAATGTAATGACTCTGCTAATCACAAAATATGTAAGTCCTAATATAGTTTTCAAGTAATTAATGTAAAATAAATCTAGGCATATTTATAAATGCAAAGGTGACTGATCGGAACAGCCACCATTGATCAGATGCAACCCAAAAAACACCATTCATACCTAACCATTTATGAATAGACATAAACAATTCAAATTCGGACCGGAGGAAAATTCAAATCTGAACTAGTGCAAATTTGAATTTCAATGAGCTAAAAAATTAAAATTCGGGGGACTCATTTAGCAAACGAATTTTATGCAAAAAGATAAGATTGAATCTAAATCACACCCACAATTGAGCCCAAACCCAGCCCGACCTGGGAAGGGCAGGGGCAGGCATCGACGCGTCCACATGTGTGGTCAAACCCAAGCCCATCTAGGTTCTCTCCCATCCACAAAAGTGGAGTGCCCTTTGGGGCCTAACCCTTAGAGCCAACTTGGGTTATGTGTGCTTACTAAAGTTTCTTTATCCAACTAATATGAAATTGTTGTTAAATCCCACATGTCCCAACCTTTAGTTTTACATTCCAAGTGGATCAATTTAAAGCCGATTTTCTTATTCACTTTTTACTTGATTTGACGAAGCAAATATACTACATTATTCTATTCATAAAATAGAACACGAACCTCCGAAAACTTATTTAAAATGATGAGTGAATCTCACTTTAATTTAGGGTCAAAGTCGACCAAAAATTAGATTTTACACCTAAAAATTGTTTTGGTACAACAATTGTAAGATAAATGAGTTTACCAACCAACCTCCGATAACGTCCTATATCAACAAAGCCTTCACCACTCTTAAGATTTAACTTAACTGTAAGGTCCATAGGTATATCTATCGGACGTTTACCAAATAGGCATTGAAATGAGCAATATCACCTAAGTCATTACCACTAATAATGATTTCATCGACAAACACAATTAACAACAATAATACCAGTAGAAGATTGAAGAACGAAATCTAAATGATCTAATGTAGAGCGCTGAAAACCAAACTAAAGTACCATGGTACTAAACTTATCAAACCAAGCATGTGGTGACTGTTTCAACCCATACAATAATTTCTTCAAATGACACAAATTGTTTCTGACTTGAAATAACATAACCTAGCGATTAAACCATATGCATCTCTCCTTGTAGATCTTCGTGTAAAAAGACATTCTTTATGTCCCAATTACTCAAGGGTCAATCAGAAACCACAACAAAAATAAGAACCCTAACAGAGTTGAGACAGACAATAGGGGAGAAAGTCTCATAGTAATCCACACCATAGGTTTGGATATGGCCCTTAGCAACCAATCTTGCCTTCAAATGCTCAACAGAACCATCAGAATGATATTTCACATATAGACTCTGTAAAAAATAATAGACTGCTTACCAAACGAAAAAGAAGTGAGATCCCAAGTACAATTGTCATAAAGTGCCTTAATTTTGTCATCCTATCCAGTTTCCATCCAGAAGATGTTAATACTTATTTGAAATAACTAGAAACAAATACTGAAGATAAGGTTAATGCAAAACAACGAATGAGGAAAACTGATGCAAAGAGACAAAGTTAAAAATGGAATGTTAAGTACAAATACGAGTATCTTTCCTCAAAGCAATAGACAAATTAGAAATGAGTGATACATTACACAACTTAGGAGGAGGGACCTCGGTAGAATCAAGCGTTGGCCAGGGAGTTTGAGCATATGGAACAAACTATCTTTCCGTGGAACAACGATAAACCTGCAAGTGAGGATCAAGAGCCACTCTAGGAGAAGATACGTAATCAAGTACAAGAGACAATATGAGCTCCCTTGACTAGTAGAAATTAAATCTGGGAAAAGAGTAGTTTTGGAGGTAGAAAAAAAAAAAGATGAAAAAAAAAATGTGATTTCAGCACTGACACAGTATCGATAAGAAACAAGGTCATAACAACAATAACCTTTTTAAATGCAAGAGTATCCCAAAAAAACACACTCAACTGCGTGAGATGAAAGTTACAAATGCATTTTGCTAGAGTGTATGTGGAAAAGTAGTCTAATGAATGATACTATGATCAACAAAAATGTACTCATAAATGTTTGTACATACTCAAGGGCCTTATCAGAACGAAATATCTTAATACATTTATAAAACTCTACAAAATTTCATTGTAAAAGGTAAGAAAAGTTTTAGGCAATTCAGAACGATCCTTCAAAAGAAACAACCAAGTCATACGAGAATAATGAAATCCACAAATAATTTTTATTCTTGAAGGACCCCAAATGTCAGAATGAACAATAGCAAAAGGACTAGACTGATGACTGGTACTACTAGAAGGAAAAGAACTACTGTTGTGATGCTTGTCTAATTGACAAACCTCGCATTCTAATATAACAGAAGGACTCAAACTAGGAATGACTTGACACAGCTTTTACAGTAACCGATTTCCCAATCGAAAATGCTACTAGAGGAGGAAACATGGTAGCACTTGGTCCAATCTGCTCATGTCCCAAATCAATCACCTTCTTCATATGGAGGTCCTAAAAAATACCAGGAGATGAAAAAAATGTCACTGAACACTATAAACACTTTGGTCAATTAACTCATAGATAACAAGTTAAATGAAAACTGAGGGATAAATAAACCAAATGGTAACGACATTGATATAGTTGGATGGAGCTCATGAGTCCCACGTATTGGTCAACAAGAGCCATCAGTTAACACAATACGAGAGTTAGAAGAATGAAAGTTAGAAAATAAGGAGGAAACCACATATGTGAACACTAGCTCCCGAGTTAATAATCCAAGATAGTGAAGTTGGTTGAGCTACCACACGTGAAAAATTACCTGCAGTGGCCAAACTGGCAGTTGAAGTAGGCACATAGGGGGAAAGGGGGGACAACTACTAGATGAGCTGACTGAGCTAAGAAATAAGATCATTATGAGATCCAGATGTAGACGCAATATGCCCACCAGTCGATGGCCGAGAGATAAGAGGAGTCGGGTCATCAGAAACCTATTTAGCATGAGCTAATCTGCCATGTTTATCCCAATAATAATCCTTAATGTCTACAACAGCTCCACAATAAGAACATTTCCACTCAGAACGGTTGTCATGACCACCACGTCCTCCATAACAATAGCCTCTACCACCACAATGACCACATGGGACTAGGTGGCAATGACCACCACGACTACTGTCACGAGAGAATAAAGCGGAGGACTCCTGTGAGTATGAAGGAGCCCCTCAAGTCAAAGATGTGCGCTGAAGGCGAGAATAAACATTAAGAGTATTGGAAGTCTCACTAGCTAAAATCTGATCTTTAAATACACCATATTCAAAGTTAAGGCTTGACAAGAACAAAGCAACCAAAAATTCATCACGCTGTCGTTGCTAAACCTCCAAATCTATACTCGGTAGCTGATACAACATAAATTCCTCCCACAACCCTTTCA